AATTATTTGTTTTATACAATTAATATTAAGATTATATGTAAATTAATTTATTTATGATTGATAAAATATCTGGGTATTGATCAATTTACTTGATTTGAAAATTGATTGATACCTGGGTTTTAACTTAAGAGCTATTGTTTTGCATTTAATAAATACCCGGGTATATTATCATTGGGGTATTATCAAAAGGGGATCTCTTAGGCAGTGCTTTATGGTAATAATATATATATATTCAGTATGTTAATACATACAAATTTTTCAATCCTGTCTATATTTATTAATAAATTATTTATTAATAAAATAATTTATTAATTTATATAAATTATTTTAAAATTACTTATTATAAAACTTTTAATTATTTTAGCATTACATGATTGGAGGTATACAATGTTAAAGATAATTTATATAATTCTGAAATCTTATTTGGTTATCAAAAAGTTTTAACCAATTATTCCAGATATTAACTTACATATAAGCTATTTTTATTCATAATATTATACTGATAATAATAATTTTGAAATATGTTTTATAAATTTTATTTTTTTAATAAAAACTATTTTGACTTTTTCAATTTCTAAAATATTACTACATAATAAATATAATAGTAATACATTTTTTAGATTATTTTCAACCTGCAACTAATATAAGTATTATTTTAATTTTTTATATAATTTTTTATATTAATTTATATCAATTAACATTAATTTTTTACCTGATCCAATAGATAAATATAATTTAACTCCATTTTCAATAAAGTCTAATTTCATTTGCATTAAATCTATCATTAGGTAAATAATTTTAAAGAATATTTTGAAGATTTTTATGCATATTATCTAAACCTTTTTAAAAAGCACTTGCAGCCTCTTCATGTTTTAAGTAATATTCAATATTATGCTATTTTTAAAACTTGTCAACCATTTATTTAATCCTTTAAAGTATTATATATCAAGTAATATTACAAAATTACATGCTTTTTGTACTAATAATTCATCACTAATAGTGATATTTTCATTTATAGCCTTTTCAACCCAAAAACTTAAAGCATCTTCAATTTGTGAAAATTAGTTTAATTTGTCTTTTAAGTGAAGCTTGATAAGATTCCAATTTTAAAGCTAATTATTTTTTCACTTTCTTTTAAAATATCACATATTATTCCTTCTAAAACATTAAATTTTTTTATTTTTAGGCTTTGGTTTCTGCAACTTTTTCCTGTTTTTGGACACCTTTAAGGGAAGGTCTAGTTTATATTATTTCAGAGATTTTCCTGTTTAGAAGAATTTTTTTCTTTTTTCTTTGGGCATTTTAATAAATGAATGAAAAAATTAAGATTTTTTCAAATATTTAAATTATTAAATTTAATATAAAAATTCGTTATAAAGGTCTCATTTATTATTTTATATAGTAAGTTTTATTATAAAAATTCGTTTTTATTTAATAAATTTTGGTAATTCACAATTACAAAACATTTTTCTATTAATTCGTCCATTACTATCTTGGATTTTGGTTACACAATTCTATTTATTACAAGTAAAGTATAAAAAAAAAGTTTGACTATTGTTTAAAGACACCTTTTTTTGAAGCTCCCTTGTTCCTGGTGGAGAATATTATATTTGTTACGTTGCTTTAACCTAATTTGCATCAGAAAGTCATTGCTGCTTATTCACGACTGTACCTAGACCTTCGTCTTGTCTGGTACTCTTTCTTGGTGACGTTTCCGATATCAAAACTTCATCTCACCTTATGCGATGGCTTCGCATTCATTAGAGGTTTATGGGAAAGGAACAGCAGTATGGATACAAAATGATAAAGAAGGCTGGATCAGTGCACAACTGGTTTCAAAAGAAATATCCAATGATAATGTAAAACTTGCATTTTTAACAGACGACGGAAAGGTAATTAATTATCTTTGCATTAGTTTTTTTTTTTTAAAAAAAAAAGTTCCTTTATAATGCAATTTCATATCGAATATATTTACATAAGTTTATTAATTAAATTTATCGCTGCTTCCTTATGTTGATAGGACATAGTAATTACAACTACCTTGACTAAATTGTCTCAAACAAATAATGCAGAATTACCACCTCTGCGTAATCCTCCTATGCTTGAATCTAGTGATGACTTGACCAATCTAAGTTATCTTAATGAACCTGCAGGTTGTATTTGATTATTTTCATGATGATCACACAAAAACAATAATAAATGGCCAAAATTAATTTCAAAAAAATTTATTTATCAATTTCATCAGTGCTTCACACAATTCGTACGCGTTATTTACAGCGAAATATTTACACGTACTCCGGAATAGTCTTGATTGCCACAAATCCGTTTTCTTCTGTTTCTTTATATACGCAAGATATTATTCAAGCATATTCTGGAAAACGACGTGGAGAATTAGAACCACATGTATTTGCTATTGCCGAAGATGCTTATCGAGCAATGCTTAGGGAAAACCAAAATCAAACAATTGTTGTATCGGGCGAAAGGTAATATAGGTCGTTATTTTGTGAAATTTTAGGTTTGTTATTTTATACTTACTAATTCTACTTTACTTTCATTTCGTTCACAATTTTAGTGGTGCCGGTAAAACTGCCAGTGCCAAATTTGTTATGCGATATTTTGCATCAGTTGACGATAAAGAAAAACCACATGATGTAGTAAAGAAAACAAACACAGCTTCTGGCATGAGTGAAGTCGAAGAGCAAATGATGGGTAAGTGTTAGTGGCAGATTCATAATAACGTTTTGTAATATGGCATATTATGAAATTTCAAGATTACTTAATAATATCGCAAACTCAAAATAATGCTTAATGATTACAGCTACCAATCCTATTATGGAATCTTTTGGTAATGCGAAAACTACCAGAAATGACAACAGTTCACGTTTCGGTAAATACTTTGAGGTATATAGTCTTCTTAATTATTTATTTTATATTTTATAATTTGAACATAACCGGTATTATTTTTATATAATATTTAGATTCAATTCGATAAAAATCAAAATATTATTGGTGCCAAGATTAGAACTTATCTGTTGGAGCGGTCAAGGTTAGTTTATCAACCGGAAACCGAAAGAAATTATCATATTTTTTATCAGGTAATAAACTTTTTATTTCAAGAAAAATTTTGGGTGTTTATTATGACATTTGTTAACTAAAAATATATTCGGTAGCTTTGTGCTGGTGCTCCACCATCAGAAAAAAAGAATCTTGAACTTGGTGACCATAGCCAGTTTCATTATTTGAATCAGGGTGGTTTAGGCACTATTCAGGGTGTTGATGATGCTGCGGAATTCGAGATCACGCAGAAAGCTTTATCCACTATAGGGATAACAATTCAGATTCAATGGCAAATTTTTAAACTTTGTGCTGCTCTTCTACATATCGGCAATATTCAAATCACAGCAAGTCGTAATGTAGCTATGGTTTCTGAAACGGATCATGCACTTGTTACTGCAACAAGATTGCTTGGTATAAAAACTGCAGATTTTAAAAAATGGTTGGTTAAAAGACAAATAGTTACCAGAACAGATAAAATTGTCACCGATCTCAATGCACAACAAGCCAACGTAGTAAGAGATTCAGTTGCTAAATACATCTATGCTAATCTCTTCGATTGGTTGGTTAATATAACAAATGAAAGTTTATCCAACGAAGAAGTCATCAAAAAGTTATCAAGTTTTATTGGTGTTCTTGATATTTATGGATTTGAACATTTTAAGAAAAATTCTTTTGAACAATTTTGCATTAATTATGCGAATGAAAAATTACAACAACAGGTACATTGTCATTAAGAGATAATATTTCCGAGATGTTTCGATTATATCTAAATTTAAATTTTCAATTTCTTCCAATTTCAGTTCAATCAGCATGTATTTAAGTTAGAACAAGAGGTAGGAATAATTCAAATCTCTATTTTGTTTATACACGTAATTAAATTTATTTCTATTTTAATTTCACTAGGAATATGTACGGGAAAAAATTAATTGGACTTTCATTGAATTCAGTGATAATCAATCATGTATCGATTTGATTGAAGGTAAAATAGGCATTCTTTCTCTTTTAGATGAGGTAAAGTTTAAAATAAAAATTTCTGTTCATACACTTATGGAAGAAGCTAAATATATATATTGATAATTTATATCTTAAATGAATAATAATTATTTTGTTAATAGGAAAGTCGTTTACCATCTGGCACCGATATTTCTTGGTGCAATAAATTATATCAACATTTTGATACAACTACACATAAAAAATATTTTCAAAAGCCTCGATTTTCCAACGCAGCTTTTACAATTAGTCATTATGCACACGATGTATCTTACGAAGTGGAAAATTTCTTGGAAAAAAATAGAGATACTGTGCCGGATGAACATCTCGCTTTATTAAAGAATACTGATTTTGAATTCTTAGATGATGTTTTAACTAAAGGATCCGCCATTGCACCTCCTGCAGCTAAGGTAGAACACATATACTTGTAGATTTGTTTGTAATAAAAATAATTGTTTCCTTTCATTGTTTCAAAATATAATATCTATAATTTTACTTTTAGCCTGACACTAAACGTTCTAGTATGATTGCGAAGAAGCCTACATTGGGTTCAATATTCAAAGTAAGTAATTATTTTAATTAATTTATTTATTTAGTTATTTAATTATTCAAAAATATTAATGTATATATTAAAAAGGAATCATTTAATCTTCATATATTTAGGCTTCATTAATTAGTCTCATGGAAACTATTAACTCTACAGATGTTTCTTATATTCGATGTATTAAACCCAATGAAGTTAAAGTAGCATGGAAATTTGAACCTCAAATGGTTTTAGCTCAATTGCGTGCATGTGGTGTATTGGAGACTATTCGCATTAGTTGTGCAGGTTACCCCTCACGATGGACGTTTGATGAATTTGTCCAAAGGTATTGAATATTTCTAATTTTTCATGCGTTTCAACTTGGAGGGTTTGCAATCTCTTTATATGGCGATGGTTATTAGATTGTTGCAACCTCCTAATAGAGGTATTTAATAATTAATTCTATTACGTTCGAAATTAAATTTAGATATTATATGCTCGTTCGTTCTGAGCATTGGGGTCCAGATACCAAAAAATTATGTTCTATTATTTTGAATGCCTCCATTAAAGTTCCTGATAAGTTTCAAGTTGGCATAACCAAGATTTTTTTCCGCTCTGGCATGGTAAGTTTATGGGAAAATGCATCATATATTATATTGGATTGAATAACCAATATATTTCTTTACAAATATTTCAGTTGGCTTATCTGGAAAAGCTTCGCCTGGATAGACTTAACGAATGTGTAACACTTATGCAAAAGAACATGTTGCGACATATGCATCAAAAGAGATATCAACTCTTAAAAGCAAGCACTATTAAGGTTCAATCGCTGTATAGAAGACGTGTAGCAATGATTGAGCTTAAACGTCGTCGCGAAGAAAAAGCAGCTATTACCATTCAGAAATATTGGAGGGGATATGTTCAACGAAAACGCTATTTACGTGCCAAAAAGGCTAGTCAGAAGTTACAAATTGGTAAAAAAAATTTGTGGGTTTTAAACATAATTCTGATTGTACATTTTCATAATTCTTTGATTTACTTTTAGCCGTTCGTGGTGTTATCGCTCGACAGAAATTCGAAAATTTACGTCGCAACGTTTCGGCTACTCGTATTCAATCTGTTTATCGTGGATGGTATAATTCCTTTTAATTTTAATTTGAAATTTTAAGTTAGGCTCTTTTAATAATTCTTAAAATGTTCAGGGTCGCACGTCGCGAGTATAAGAAAACCTTGAAACATATTATTTTTATTCAATCATGCCTTCGTCGTCGCTTGGCAAGAGCTGAACTTAAGAAGATGAAAGTTGAAGCACGTTCCGCCAATCACTATAAAGAGGTTTCATATAAACTTGAAAATAAGGTTATTGAACTTACACAGAACTTGGAACAAAAATCTCAAGAAAATAAGGCCTTAGAAGTTAGAACGGCATCTTTAGAAGGTCAAGTCAAGTCATGGATGGAAAGGTATGACAAATTGGAAACTGATTCCAGTAGTTTCAAAAGTTCAACGAAACAAAGTACTATTGGAATTGATGAGTTCAAGTCTCTTCAATCTGAGAAAGAAACACTTGAATTTCGTTATCGAACTTCTCTTGAGAACATTAAGAAGCTAGATACAGAGATTCAACGTCTTACAAATGAAATAAGCAAAAAAGATGATGAAGTAGCACGACTCCGTGCAACTACAGCTAAATATAAAGGAGCTGAGGATCCAGCTACGGTGCTCGCTTTGAAACAAGAGATTTCTGCTCTTAGAGAACAGTTGGCTAAGGTTAAAAGCGGTAGAGGAACATCGCCCCCACCACCACACCGTCAAGAAAATGGTTTCTTGACAGCTGCTAACTCTTCTTCGCTGAAACCTCCATCACAAAAACGAAGACCTCGGCGACATAGCTCTGCTGAATCCTGGGGACCAAATGAGGTTACAAAACGCAAACCCAAAACATCAGTTGATTTAGTTATGGCTGAAGCAAAGAAACCGGGATTAAGACCTGTTTCAGTTTCATATACTCAAATGAATGTTCCAAAGATTAGATCCCCAGGCGGTCGTATTCATTTGCCGGGAGTTGAAAACGATCCAGACGAGGAGGTAAAAAAAATATTTGTGATCGTTTTTTATTGTTAGAAAATAATTATTTTTATTATTTCTCATATTGTAAATTTTTATTAATTGGACATTATCAGATCATGAAACTTCTTGAAGATGAAGAAACTCTTGATGATGAAATTATTAGTGGGCTTATTAAATCTTTGAAAATACCACTTCCAAGTCTACAAAATCCTCCATCGCAGAAAGAAATCCTTTTCCCTGCAAGACTTATTAGTCTTCTGGCAAAGCAAATGTGGAAATTCGGGTTTATAAAGGAATCGGAAAGGTTATTTGCTAATGTAATGAAAACTATTCAAGAACATGTAATGGTAAGTTATTGGCAAATCGATTCTTAAATATTTATTTATTTATACTTTAGCATTTTTATGATATTTTTTGAAATCTTAGGATTATGAAGGCGACGAAGCGATCCTTCCCGGTGCATATTGGCTTTCTAATGTGCATGAATTATTATCGTTTGCAAATGCCGCTGAGAGAGATATGCTACGTGGAGTAAACCCGGCTTCTAATTCGGGAGGAAAAATGTTTGAATGGCATGATTACGAAAGATTGGTGTCCATAGTAAAACATGATCTAGAGAGTCTTGAATATAATATTTATCATACATGGATGAAAGAACTTAAAAAGCGTTTACACAAAATGGTTATTCCGGCAGTAATTGAAAGTCAATCGTTACCCGGATTTGTAACTAACGAGACTAATAGGTTTATTACAAAATTCATTACTGGACCTACAACTCCTGCTTTCAGTATGGATGATCTTCTTAATTTCTTGAATAAAGTTTGGAAAGCTATGAAATCATATTACGTTGAAATGTCGGTAATTCAGCAAGTTGTTACGGAATTGCTTAAACTTGTAGGAGTGACGTCTTTCAACGATTTGTTAATGAGGTAACGTGATATAGATTTTACTGGTAAATTATTCTTTCTATATTTAAAATTTCATTTTATTTTATTTTTTCCTTTAGACGTAATTTCTGTTCATGGAAGAGAGGTATTATTTGATTTCTCATACTTATTATTTTAATTTCAAAAATTCAAATATTTTTTCTTTTTTTTTTTTTTTTATCAGCAATGCAAATACAATATAATATTACTAGAATAGAAGAGTGGTGCAAGAGCCATGAGATGCCTGAAGGCACACTTCAACTGGAACATTTAATGCAAGCTACTAAATTATTGCAACTCAAAAAGGTTTTTAATATACTTAATTTTTAATTATTTATATTTTTATGTTATTTATTAAAATATAATTGAATTGGATATTAGGCAACTCTAGGAGATATTGAAATTATATATGATGTTTGTTGGATGTTGACTCCTACACAAATTCAAAAGCTTATAAGCCATTATTTCGTTGCAGACTACGAGGTAATTTCCAATAGTTTGATTATACATTATATTAAATCATTTACCATAATTTATTTAAAATCATAGAATCCAATAAGTCCGGAAATTTTGAAAGCTGTGGCTAGTAAAGTTGTGGCAAATGATAAAACGGATATACTAATGCTCGATGCAACTCCTTTAGAGGATTCTGGTCCATTTGAAGTTCCCTCTCCACGCGAAGTGGCACCTCCTGATAATTACCTTCCTGCATGGTAATAATAATAATATATTTTTTTTTTTCCTTCCAGATAATTTACTAAATTTGTTAATTTTGACATTCAGGTTAAATTTGCCACATGTAAAGCGCCTCGGGACTTTAGCAACATAATCGAAAAAAAAAATTGGTTAATCAGTATTGTCAATCGCATTGTGCTTTAAAATATTATTTAAATTATATTTATTATACATCAATTATTTTGAGCCTTTTTTTAAATGAAAAGAAAATGATAGTGCTATGATTAAATATTGGTTAATTTTTTAAATTATTATATAATCTGTATCAATAGATAGTAAAATTATTAAGAAATGGTAAGCATAGATTATTCTGTTATTCTATTTACAATAACATTATAGGTATTTAATTTGTTTATTATAAGATATTTATAAATTATTTATTAATGTTAAATGAAGATATATTATTATTAAATAATAAATATTTTTACAATCATAAAATCAAATAAAAAATTTTTTAAGTCATTTTAATACTTTGTAATTAATTAATTATAAATTACTTTCTTTTATAAATTTTTATATAATAATTATTATAGAAAAAAAAAATATAATAAAAATTATATTATATTATTATTTTAAAATAGTTACAAATTAATATACTTTAAATTTAAATTTAAATTTAAATTTATATTATATGATTAAATAGATTAAAATACTTAATTAAATAATAGTAATCAATTTTATAAGATTTTAAAAAAAACCAATTAATTATGCTTTATTAGATTTTTTCAATAACTTTTACTTGATATTCTTTTACAATCAAGTAGAAAATATGAAGACTATTCTAATTTTTTCAACAATTTACTTTATCCCTTCAATGGTTTTCCTTTCAAATTTTAAAAAAATTTTACTTATACAGTAGGGCAAATATATGGTTTCTGGAACAGATTTCAAAATAGTATTCAGAAAAGATTTCTGACCGCCCGCGAATCCATTTTAGCTATATGAATCAATTATCAAATTCAAACTTCTAGCGCATTTTGACTCAATTCTAGATGATGTT